GATAATTATTATGTATAAGGGAAAAAAAAGAGCAGCTTATAAATTTTACATAATGTTTATTATTTATAGTGTTCTCAGAAATGTCGGGCCTCAACCAGTGGGCCTTCTCTATTTTTTTTTTTATCTTTTTTCACTTTTTTCTCTTTTGATCAATATTTGATCAATAAACATCACAATGTTAATTTTTTTTCCTCTAGTTCGTACAGTTTTCTCTTTCATTTTTTTTCTTTCTTAATTTCCTTCTCTCTCTATTAAAAGTGACGCGCAAACTGCTCGTATCCGTTTTGTCTCTTCATGAAAATTGTAACGCTGATTTCGGTAGCGCCACATGAACATTTCATTTTCTTCTTTGCTTCTTTTTTGCTCTTCTTTTCTTCTTTCAATTTTTTTTTTATTCTCGTTGAATATTAAAAACCAACGAAACGAAATGAACAATAAATTTCTCTTCTTTCTTTCGTTTCATTCTTCCGTTGTGTCAATTATCTTATTTTTCATTCATTCATTTTTGAAACATAAAACAATAATGGATCATCACGTAAGAAATTCTCGAGACTGAAATATCTCGGTACAAATCCGTCACGAGCAGATTGTGCCTCGCAAAAAATAGATAATTAATTCAGTTCTTGATTCCTCATCCACAAGTTCAACATGCCAGCATTTTCGTATAACAAAACATATATACATATATATGTAACAATTGCATGGAAAAAATAAAACGGAAAAAGAAAAAAAAATGAAAAAGAAATACATAATATTAAAAATGAGCTATTATTTTGTCTTAGTAATTTATAGATCGCAAAAAATTGTATTCGACGATATAGAATTTTCTCTCGCTCTCCCTCTCTTTCTTACTTTTCCTTTCTTTCTATCTATCTCTCTTGCTCGCACGTTCGCTCGTTCGATTTGTGTCTTGATGGCCAATAATAATATAATATATATGTATGTATATATATATATATATATATATGTATACATGTACATATATATACATATATATTGTATATTTGAGGCATAAGTGCATTCGGTTAAAATACAACTTAGTATTAATAATTTCACGTATTACAAAAGTTGTCGTCGAATATGAAACAATTTGATGCGAAGATTAGGAAAAAACGACATCGTTTATTTTTTTTAATTATTATTTTTTATTCTTCTCTCTCTCTCTCTCTCTTTCGTTCTCTTTCACTCTCTATCTCTTTCTCTCTCACTTTTTTAAAACTCTTCCTTGTATGTTTCTTTTGTATTCTCTTTATTTCTTTTTCTCTTTGTCGTCTATTCCCATTTTGGGCCGACATTTTAAAAGTATGTGAATGAGTGGGCATTAAAAATAAGAAGGAAAAGGTTTTAGGATCGAGGGATGTCTCACACTTTCTTTCTCTCTCAAGGAGAGTGGTAAGGAAATTTGGGGCCAGGAAACTGACTTTCCTTTTCTCTTTCTTTTTTTATTCATATTATAGTAACCAACCACCCCCACTGTACACGCTTCTGCTCGACTCTTCGTCCTCTCGTGGACATTGAAAAATTAGGATACGCAAGTGTCGAGGTCGAAGAATGAAATTCGAAGGGGACGATAGCCGTACATGGGATATTTTAGATCCCTTCATTACCGATCGACGATAGTCGACGTTAATATTCATTACAGCATCATCTATGTCGCTCCTTCGTTTTATTCTCCGATTCGACCAATTGAAAATATGTCGTAGCTCGGTCGCCGAACGTTCGCGATTATTTGGAACAACGAGGATTGTCCTTCTCTCACCACTCTTTCTCATTCTTTTCTTTCTCTCTCTCTCTTTCTCTCTCACTCTCTTTTTCTTTCTCTGTTTAGGCGATTAACAACATTCAAAGTCTGAGCGACATGAAACAACGCGCGAGGATCGAACTTCCGAAATATCGTTCACCACGCGATTACCTTTGTATTCGTCGCGTTACTAATTTTACAATTCATTAATTCACTTGGTACGACGTATCTTTTTGCGACGCCTTCTCGTTTCACTCTCTTGTTTCCATCTCTTTCATTTATCATCTTTTTCCTGTAAACATGATACATTCTTGAACACAACGAGATCGTGACGCGAATATAAACCGTTCGACGACCGATCGACGGTTGCAAGCTAAGAAAATCGGCGCGGAAGCGATAGTGGCGCACGGGTACGTGACCATTCTTTTTTTATTATTTTTTTTATTTTTAAAGTTCTCGTTTATATTAGGAATCGAAGGGGGACTGAATATATTCGAAAAACCTTGGTAAAAATATGTGCCGTGACCCCGCGCCACTCGGCTCGCCGACGCTTCTGGCCCACCTTAATTAATTTCTTTTTTTTTCGTTTTTTTTTTAAAGATTTTTTGTTTCACCTGTCTTAAACTCCAAACACTTCGTTCGGCCGTTGGCGCTATACGAAATGATCAGTTACAATATCATATTATATATATAATATATATAATATATAATATAATATATATATTATATTCTACATTACATTACTATGTTCGAAAAATAATATTACAATATATAGTGTATGTTGTTATGTGTATTATCATATTAATATTTTTTTTTGTTGTTTTGTTACTCTTCTTATTCCTCCTCTCCTCCACGATAGTAACGCCTCGCTTTTTTCTTACCTATCGCATTTTTATCTCTCTCTCGCTCTCTCGCTTGCGCTCTCTCTCTCTCGCTCGCTCTCGCTCTCGTTCTCTCTCTCTCTCTCTCTCTCACGCTCGTTCGCTCTCGCGCAATCATTTTCGTTTTCTCTCTCTTTCTCTCTCTCTCTTTTCTCTCTTCTATTATTATGCGCGGTAATACCTAAAATTTACAATTAATTCATAATCCGAAGACGACGACGATGCTGCTGAGAGGGCAAAATAGAGAGAAATCTCGCTTATTATTCGTTTCCCCAGAGTTGCATATTTCATGTGTCTCCGGTGACATGTGTACATGTGTGTCCTCTGTATGTGTATATATGCATGTATACGGTCGTATAAAATTATTATTATTATTATTATTTTTCATGGCTAAGTCTCGATACGATACAAACGGCGCTTGAACATTTTTCGTTTAGAAAAATTCGTTTCGCGTGAATCAACGAATCACAGTGGAACAGGACGGGAACGATCGATTCGAGCCAACACGGTCCCCCAACACGGCCGTCGAGTTATCGAATCTCGATCGTTCTGGCCGTTCGCTATCACGGAATGCCCTAGAAGATTCATCTTCACCGTGGAACCATTTGTGTGTTGCTTCTCTCAGCAGTACGCGCGTCTAGTCACGTTACTAAATCCATTTGGTGTGTGTTGTGTGGATGTAAAACCGCTAGGCGCTTCTCTCTCTTCTCTCATTTCTCCTCGCTTTTTTTTTCTTTTTTCATTTTTAATTTGAATAACAACCATTTTTTTTTTTAAATTTGTTTTACTAAATATATCACAAACTGCCGGTGGTTAGTGCAGCTATCGAGTTCGTGCCAAAACCGTTTATTTCGTTAATATTCCTTGGTGTATGTGCCACGGTACGCGGTGATCGGGTCAAAAGTGACCCATGCCAGTAGATTCAAATTTTATCTAATTTTCGTTCGTCTAATCAATATTAATATACCCGATCGCGAAATCGACTAGATCAAAAATGACCCAGTCATCGAATACGAAACAAAGGTTCGTATCATTTGTGTTTTTTTGTTTCGTTAAATGGGTGAAATCGTTCTTTTTTTTGTACGATGGAAACGAATACTTTTTTTTTAAGTATTGATGATTTTTGAGTTTTGATTATATACTTTTTGTTTTCTCTCGAATAAACGCTTTTCGGCACGAATTCCCAAGCTACCACCGGAAAAATATAACGTTAAGGGATTACATGTTAATAGTTACATCACTGTCAATAGACGCGCAGCTCTGAAGGATTCTCCACGAAATATCATGGAACCGTTCGACGAAGAATCCTTCGGTCTCGTCTCCAACGTACGGTTAGTTTTAAGTTGTCGAACTAGTAAATTTTTTTTATTTTCCGTTTTATTATGCTGCCACAGAAGATTCTCCTTTTATTTATTTATTTATTTTTTTTTTTTCGTTTTCGTTTACTCGTAAACTGTAAATACCTTTATAAATTCATTACCTTAAAAGTATATATATTTATATATATATTATATTACGTAATAATCTTCGTTTCGTTTTGTTTTCCATTTTCTTCCTTTCGCATTGCTCGTTTTCTTCTTCTCTTTTTTTTTTTATCGATAGAATCGTCGCGGATGCCTAATAGAATTGATTACGAAATTTTGAATTTTTTTTTTTTTTACTTTCCATTTCCATCGATCTTCCACCTTCGATCTATTCATCCTTCCACTATCGAAAAACTTTTTCTTCTACCCTTCCACTCTTTTCTATTTTCCATTTTCTTATTTTTTATTCGTATTTTTTTCTTACTTTTTCTTTTTTTAGAAAACTTGTAGTCAAGGGGGGCGACCGTGTTTCTTAATTACGTCGGAAGGACGTGACAGAGGTTTCGGGGGCAGGGGGGAGGGAGAAGTAAAGGACAGAGAGGAAATCAAGCAATTGTCTCGAGATATTATTACAACAAGTAGAGGTAATAAGTAACACCGGATTAATTCTGTTTCATTCGAGGCTGTACAGGCATTTTGTTATCGTTTTATAGTTTTTTTTCTTTTTTTTTTTTTTTTCTTTTTTGCCGTAGACACCGCGAAAAATGAATGGAACACTAACACTCGTTCAATATGACCGACACTGGAACACTCGGAGAAAAAGTGTTCGAACGAAAGTCCTTTATTATAATTTTTTTCATTTTTATTAAGTGATGCGAGTCGAGCACCCATCGAGCATCGTTGTCGAGTTAAAAACGTTCAGAATATATCGGCGTAATCCTTTTCTGATTCGTATTTTTCCACGTCTGACCGGTTGAACTGAAATCGAAATATCTTCGAATCGGAATCTAAATAAAATCGACCTATAAGATCGATTTAAGAAAAAAAAAAAAAAAAGAAAAGTTTATGGTCTACGAATTAAATTTTTCGCACGAGGAACTTTACCAACTAGGAACCTATTCGTCAGATTGCGCTGCGAGCGTCTGCGTAGTCGTATGTTTTTAGTTTCATTTTAAGAGGACAACGCTTAGTAACTAGAACTGTGTATCTGGAACTATCGATGCGAAGAATCTATCATTGTTTATCGAGAGCAAAAGAAAAACTTTTTTACTGATCGTATTAATAATTTTTTTCAACGTGTTGACTCTGTAGTCAGACCGAAGCCACCATGTTTCGACGATACAAAAATGTTTTTTAACATTTTCTTCGCTGTAACGATGAAACTAATTTTTCCCTCGCGTTACTTACTTATTACGCAAACTAGTTTAGAATCCACGATTTAAATATGATTGAAACACTTGTAAGAGAAAACAATTTTCGATATTTCTTACGAGACGAAAATTTAAATTAAAATTAATTTTGCTAAAAGTATCTACACATCTTTATAGATCACCCGCCACCATTTTCGATAATAATCATCACAAACACCGAATAACCTCGCGAATAACCTCGAGTCAACGTGTTAAAAAATCCCTACGAGCCGATATTTCGAACTTTCTAACGCGAGTTTCGAGTAATCTAGGGCGCGAAAAATTTTGGGGGGATCGATATCGGTAAGAACGTGTTTTTAAGACAGCAACGATAAAGTGGGGCCTCGACGCGGAACGGGGGGGGGAGGGCATTCGAAACTAGCGATCAGCAAAAAGTGACACTGTGCAACTTCCTAAGCGGCTATCTATCTCTAATAGTATATTAAACATTTCTGGGCGATTAATATTAAACACTACATATAGATATCGATATATTAATAATGACCATCCCTCTAATTGTAGCGTAGCTCAGGCGTGCGCGTTGCGTATACGTATAAATGACCAAGAACACCTAACTAACACATTTCTACCACGATATAATAACTCGCGTATCTCTGTGTCTAAACGTGTGTAATAATATACGTGTGTGTATGTAATACCGTATTATTGTATGTGTGTGTGTGTGTATATATATATATATGTGTGTGTCCCTCTATGTATACACGTCGAATCAGAAAAGGGTCTTCTAGAGAAGCGTTTTCGCAATAGGCGCAGAAGCTCACACGTGAAGCAAGGGAAAACACGAGCACTCGTTTTGACGTTTGTTTCGAATAAATCGTTGTGCGCGTTCGTTCATCTATTCTTTCAGGATTATAATATCGATTAGACGATCTGTATGTTGCGATGACACGTGTTCTATCCTAGAGTTGGCCGTCTTATATCCACGAAGGGTCGCGTCGAACATGAAATCGCTTGAAACGCTTTCACGGATTCTTTCGAAGGTGCGTCATCGTGATCATTTTTCAAATTTCCCGCCAAAAGAGTAGAGCGAGCGATTCCAAGCCACCTTTCGACACGGCGTCTCGAATGGACGATGTACGAGGCTCGATGTACATCGAGGTTACAAGATTTCCGCGAATAACTTGAATACCAGTTTTCTCTTTCTCGTTTTTCCTCTTTTCCCTCGAATAAGATTCACGGGTGATTAATTATTAAATGATAATTATTCAACGTCTTCTTTGTCTAAGTCGCTAGCACAGAAGAAGCGGGGGGTTAGAACTTTAATAGTTTGCTGCGTTCACTTCGACGAACGAGGGTATTACGATATTCTTTTTTCCTTTTTTTTTTTCTTTTTTTTCCCTTTTCGTCGTAACGAAGATTAAGAGTGTTTCTGGCAAAGGTGGGGTGTGATGGGGACCAGATGTACGAGAGGGTATCCGTATTTTTTTTTTCGTATCGCTTTTCGAAATATTCTTCAAATGGACGTCCCTTTCTGCAATCTTTTTAATTTGTTGAAAAAACGGCACAATTATGTGTGTGTGTTTTTTTCCTATCTCTTCTCTCTTGTTGTTTTTTTCTCTCTTTTTCTCGTTCAAGACAAGGTATGTATATATATATGTATGTATATTCGTCTATAGAAGATCCTGCACCGGAGAGCAAAGGATGGAAGATGGCTATTCTCGCGGTGCGCGCGTGCGTGCCTCTGGCCCTCTGGTCTGTTGACGAGGAAACTATGTTAAAGGAAGCATTCTTCTTTTTTTGTTCTTCTTCTTCTAACCTCGTTTTTCCATCGTTTGTTTATTTTTTCTTTTATTCGATTTATTTCATTTTGTTTATTCCTCTTTTAAATAGATACGTCTACGTCATCTAAATCGTGTTTTTACCTTTAAGTAAATGTAATTATTTAGCGTTTATTTATTTATTTATTTACTTATTTCATTTTTTTTTTTCGTTTTGTTTGCTCGCTCGTTATTTTTAGAGAGTACGTTTTTTTTACTTGTTATATTTAGACACTAAGCGGTTAATTGGGCGCGAGATCGAATATCGTCTTCGCTCTCGTCGCGGTTTTCATTCAAAGAAAATTGGAAGGACGTATTTGAAAGAAGGTTGGGGGCGAGGAGGAGTGGGGAGTTTGGAGGTTAAGGAAGAAGCAAAGAGAGGGGGAGAGAAGAGAATTCGGGGGGAAGAAGAAAATAGGGGGAAAAAGGAGGGAGAGAAAGAACGAAAGCGGACATAAGAGGCTTCGTCTTCGTCTATATGTCCTTGGCGGAGATATTGTGCATATGCGGTTGCAGGATTTCCCGTGTTTCGTTGTACAATAGAAAAAATGGACAGAATTGTCGGTCAATCAAAAGGATAGACGTTCCTTTGTAACGTTTCCCTAATTAATTTCATTCCCTCTTATGTTTATCGTTTTGCTCGTCCGTGTTCGTAAAGGAGAAACGGCGGGCGGCCGCGACGGATTTTAAAAAGTCTTTCATATTTCTACTTCGACACACTAATGAGAAGCTTTACTAAGGGCGTTTAGGCTGGAATACAACTAACATGCAATTAGTTCGAACCGGTAAAAGTTTCTTTTTTTCGCTTCGTCCACTACCAGCTAAGAATCGTGTAATCTACGATGTTTTTAACCACTACGACTTTATTTATTTAATTATTTAATCGTTTCCCGTTTAATATAATTCTAAACTCGAAAAATACTATTTAATCATTCGTTAGCTTAGTTCTCGAGAAAAAGTTAGTTAATTATTTCGTCGTTACGTGTTCTCTTTTTTTTTTTCACTTTTTTTTCTTTTTCTTTTTCTTCATCTTCTTCTCATCCACTCCCATTCTATCTCTTTGTTCAAACGTCGAATCTACCAATGTCGAACGCGCGTTTTATCATTATTTTTTTCACTATTCCTATTATTATTCCGTTCTACTAGTTGCTCGTTTATCTAGAAATTTCAAGTTTGAAAACAGTGTGTGTGTGTGTGTTATTTTTGTATGTGTGTATATATGTGTGTTTGAACAGCAATCTTCTCTATGCTATATTATTAAAAATCGAACAGATAACTCTTAGCAAGCAATCTCATCTTTTTCAATTTTTTCTTTTTCTTTTTTTAAACAATCTGGGAGGAAAATCGTTCAGTTCTTTTCGTGTGTGCAGGATAAACGGATATTCTAAACAAAAAAGAAACTTGAATTCTCACGAAGAATCGTGCATCGATGTATATTTTTATATACTCGAGATGTGACTGTTCGAAGTGTGTGTGCATCTATGTATTGTTTGTAATATGTATATTTTACAAGTGTATAAGTTGCAAAAATCCAGGTTTATTTCCATCCTCGGTTTCGTGAATCGCGTTCAACACCGTTCGTTCGTCTTCTCTTCCATTCTATTCGCCTGGATCTTTCCATCCATCCATCCTCCGTGCAAACGATAACGTTACAGAAACAACACCTTTCGCTCTGCAGAGAAATATGGATTTCATCGTTTTCCATTCCCCCGTCGAGTAAACAAACATTCACTTATGTCGAGCACAAGTACTTCATTTCCTCTATTATCCCTTTTCAACAACAATCGTTTCTTTTTCTTTCTTCAAACCGAACATTCTCGTTCCCTCTTCTTTCCTCAACTTCAACGGTCGTCGAATGGATCGAAAAAAACTTTTTGCCAGACTTTCAACCAGAGATCCACTCTGTCCCTCCTCTGCTATGCCCTAGGGGTAATTTTAATTTACGTATTTCGTAATTAGCCCGCTTAACCGTATAGAATAAAAGTCAAAAATATATCATCATTATGTATATATATCCGTATATATATATATTCTTCGTTCTGTAATCTACCATCTAAATTTAATTTACTCTAGTTTACTCGAGAAGCGTGTACGCGCGACGCCATTTTTTATCTCTCTCTCACGCACGTTATCTCTCTATGTGCACGCTCGAATCCACACAGAACCGAAGCCCGTCGTCATGCGATCTCTCCTTTACATATTATATTACTCGTGTATATTAACGGTTCGAACAAAATTCTCTCGAGTGTTGCGCCATTATCTCTCTCTCTTTTTCCCTCCTTCACTCTCGTCTATTAGCGGACATAAGCTTGTCCCTGATGTGGACGGTGTATGTATTATGTATTATATTTTCGGTATGTATATCGTTTATTTTTTTTTTTTTCTCTTTTACCCCCTTCTACTTATCTGATTTTATACCTTTTCTCTCTCTTTCTCTGTTGGCTCGATACATCTATGTGCACACGCTCTATCGACCCGATCCATACGCGTTCCCCTCCCTTCCTATTATTTTTTTCCACGGATTCCTTTTCAATCGGCAATCCACTTCTCGATACGGGCTAATGGCAATGATACTCCATTCGCGTTCCACGAGCCGTGGACGGGTTATCCGACGGCAAATCCGATCGGACGCCCGTGTCGACAATTTCGGATTGGGATGGCGACGGTGGGTAGTCCAGTCGACGGTAGACAATCCGATTAAACGCGCGGCGAAAAATATCCGTACGAATTCCCGGATGTGTACGCGCTTCGAATTTTTTCCCCGTTTCGCCATTTTCCATTTCTCTGCAGAGGGTGTCCTTCTTTTCTTCTCTCTCTCTCTCTCGTTTACGTCGTCGAACCTTTCCATTTCCTGCTCGGTCGTTTCCTGCCGTCCATTCTTGCCATCATCATTATCATTATTCTTCATCCGCGAGCGAATTTTTCGCTTCCTTTGTTGTTGTTGTTGTTGTTGCTTTCTATTGTTTGTTGGATTTCTGGTTCGTTGGTTTTCTCGGCAGAGTCAAAAATGCGCGCAAGAAGCTAAATAGGTGGGTACACGCGAGCGATATGTTGCAGCAGCTAATTGAATGGTGGGACGCGGTGGGAAATGAGCAGCTGTGGATGCCTGATAATTGTTACAAAACTTGGGTGATAATTTGGTCCGATAAAAAGGGGAGAAGTTGTTTACAGGGGATTCGAGAATTGAAAATTACGTTTATAAGAAAAGAAAGTTTCGTTGTTGGTGAAAAAATAACGATCTGTATATATACATATATCGAAACGTTAATCCGAGTCTAAGCAAAAAACCAACGTTCCAAATTAAATTAAAAACTTCGAATTTTTTTTCTTCAAAATAATCCTAAACAATCTGTTAATAATAATTCGATAATGAATAAATTTCGTTCGTACGAGGAAGAAAAAAGAAGAATATCGATTGATCAAAATTTAAAGCTGTCCACAGTTGCTCGACAATCACGTTACCCATGCGAACCAGGGATATATTCGTTAGCCACGCGAAGCAGCATTCTTGTTTCATTTAAAGCGACAGCGTATACAAATCGTCCTATGAACCCGTCATCGCCGGACAAAACGTTGGACAAATCGTCGATTCCTACACAGACAGATAGAAAAAGAATCGTGTTGCCTCTGGCGACACCAGCGTTCAGCGCGAGCAGATTCTTTGCGTTAGTATTATTATTATTATTTTTTTAACACGAATATACGAATTTAATTGTTTAATTAATCGCTTTGTGATTGATTGATTGCTTGCTGCAGCAGCTAAAACCCTTGACTCAAGTTGGGAAGCTTGAAAACTCCAGTGGATTTTTTTCTCATCGTATCTCATCTCTTTTCCTTTTTTTTTTTTAATTTTTAATTTTTTATCTTTTTATTCTATTTATTCTTTTTTTTCCTCGCTGACTTTCTCCTTTTTCTTCTTCTTTTTTTAACTTTTTCATCGTATTATTTCTCTCCCTCATCTTATTTTATCCTCTTATATCCCTATATACGTATATACACATATGTTGATCTTTTTTTTATCGTTAATTAATTACATTTTTTTTTGTTTTTTCTTTTAATTCATTTTGACATATCTAGAAACGATCGTTAATCGTTATCACTCTAACTAGTAGAGTATAGTTAGCACTTTTCGTTCCTATTCCTCCGTTTCTCTTTCTCCTTTCGTTACTGGCGTTTTTTTTTTCTTTTCCTTTTTTCACTAAGTATCCGTTATTTATTAACACTAATACTCTTGGTGTATTTATTACTAAGAACGTTTGGTATCGAAGGGAAAGACGGCTTTTTTTTTCGCATCGTTTTTTATCCTCGGTTTATCAATTCATTCATTTTTTTCGCTATTCAGTTATTTCCCTAGTTCTATCCTCGGTTTTCTTTTTCTTTTTCTTTTTTTTCGCCGAAATTTTTACGCCGTGACCGATTCGAGAAAAAGAAAAATCGAAAAAAATATTCGTTGATCGACGCTAAGTCTTGGAATTCTAGTCGTGGTTTTTTTCTTTTTTTCCTCTCCTTTCCTTCCGTATAATCTCTATTCCTCGTTACTTTTTCGCTTCGAGAGGCGGGCAAACCTTTACTTCTATTTTTATTTATTTATTTATTTATTTCTGGCGGATGAAATTAAAACGAGTGAAACGAAAGATTCCGATTTGCAAAAGGAATGGCAGCTGTCGGGACGAATTGTATTTAAACGTTTCCCATTTTTCGAGAATTATTTATTTCGTGAGAAATGTTTGGGTTTGGCCCGCGTTCGAAGCAGAGGCATCGAATTTCACTGTGAAAATCGGGAAAATTTATTCGAAAAGACTCGCCTCTATATACTCGATAATAGGATCACAATTGAAAAATTGTCTCGCCGCCTATATTCATACGGCGCTACTGAACCATTTTTTTTTAATATGGACATTCGTTTAATTATTGTACTTATAGTTTTTTTTTTTTTTTTTATTTACATACACGACACAACTCACTTACTTCGTTTATCATTATTTTTTTTCTCGTTATCTAAACTCTATGTATGTACATATTCTAGATGCGGCCACGAAGGAACTCGTCCGTCTAATTCTATTCAATTTCCTTTCATTCTCGTCTCTCCTGGTCTATCGAACGCGAAAAAAGAAAACAAAATGATATTTTCAGAATCCTGAATGAAAATTGATATTCGTTTTGGGGAGTGAAAAAAAAAAAAAAAATTAATCAAGATTAATTTCATTGTAGACAGAATATGTCCCGTGATAAATATGAAACATGTTACTAAAAAAGTAGTAAGCAAAAAAGATAGATATAAAAATGTATCTTATTTAATCTCGTTTATACGAAATTATAATAAGTTTCGTATCCAATAACATTTTTCAAGTGTTATTTATTCTGTTCATTGTATTTCGTTGTAGTCTACGAATAAGAGTATGAAAAATGAGATTAGATTTTAGATCCATTCTTCAAAATTTGTTCGAAATTTTGAAATATTATAATTCAAAATAAATTTGTTACTATTCTAGTTTAAAGTAATGATCTAGTGAAACCAATTTATCTATTTCCTTTGAAGAGAATTAGAAACAAAATGGCTTTTAGATTATAAAACTCGTTATATTTCGCGAACAAATAAGATATATATTTATATGAACTTTTTTCCTCGTTTCTCACTTAATCAGTTCATGAAAAAAATTTTTCTTCCCACTTATTACGATTGTTTCTTATACACGATTAGAATTCTACAATTCCAATAATAAAGAAAATTGAAAAATGATTTTACGTTTCGAAAAAATAAAATGTGTTTGAAAAAGGGGGAGGGGGGGGGCAGGATAAATGTAGAAAAATCACGTATCACGTTCGTAGGCGTATATCGTTCTAACGATTTTTTCTAATGAAAAAAAAAAAAAAAAAGTGTGTACATCTTTTCTCCCCTCGAAATAACATTTATATCTCTATATACACGAGTAATTTACAAGTGTCGAATCTTTCCCCTCTAATACCAACGACTAATACAAAGAAACGTAACGAGAAAGAAAAGATAAGGGAAGAATGAACGAAAGAAAGAAAGAAAGAAAAGAAAAACGAAAAAAACGTCTGTGTGTATGTGTATACATATTTATATATAATATATATATCTATATTTCGATTAAATTTCCTCTTTCGTTTTCGTTTCTTTCAATATTATTTCCAATGCTCATATATTCGCCGAGCATTACAATACTTTTTATTTTCTTTTTAATTTCTCTTTCTTCTTCTTCTTCTTCTTCTTCTTTTTTTCTTTTTTTTCTTTTTTCTCTTATGTACGTGTATGTGTGTCCTTTGATTCTTAAATGCTGTACAGGAACATTTATACTTGTTTAATCGTTTAAATCGCTCGTTCGATTTATTTTTTGCCTTTTTTCACTTTTGTATTCAATAATAATTATTTTATTAATAACCTATATTTTATTTATAATACACTTATATCCTGCCAGTTAAGAGTTAATTTGTTACACCTATGTCCGTTTAAATAATTAACGCTAATATTCCGTCTCTCGAGTTGTAGCGGTTAATTAATTGATCAAGATAGAAAAGAACATAATGTTAACAAATTTAGAAAAAGAATAAGTGAAATATAATTGACGAGCTTTCTGGAAAAAGATTTCAGTTCCATTTTCTTTTTTTTCTCTTTTTTTTCTTTTTTCTTTTTTTTTTTTTTTTTTCAATACTATTACTT